TGCACAGGAACAAGAACAAGTTGCCCAGTACTAAGCACTAATCTGTCTTCTAACATTAATTCTTCTTCTCTAGATTTTAATTTCTCAAAAACTTCCTTGACAGGAATACAGGGAGTTTTTCATTAGACATTAACAATTTACGCTCCACAGCTGAATCATTGCATTTAGAGCAAACAGATCTATTCTTTAGAAGTAGTTGCATTAATTGGGAAAGTTATGTTTTTTCCTTCATACTTAATGGTCTTATGAGAAGTTGCAACTATACTTAGTAAAGGAATACAAAAACAAACCAGCCCATTCCCAGAAACATACTGCGCTCCTCCAGAGGATGGACGCCTTGCGCCATCCACCTCAGTAGGGCCTTGCCATTGCCTGAGTCAGGGGAGGGGCTCAGCAGTCAGGCACAGTGGCACACACCTGTAATCCCAGTGGCTCAGGAGGCTGAGGCAGGAGGACCATGAGTTCAAAACCAGTCTCAGCAAAAGTAAGGTGCTGCTGGGGGTGGTGGCACACGCCTGTAATCTCAGCTGAAGGCTGACAGGAAGATCCTAAGTTTAAAGCCAGCCTCAGCAAAAGCGAGGTGCTAAGCAACTCAGTGAGATCCTGTCTCTAAATACATACAAAATATGGCTGGAGATGTGGCTCAGTGGTCAAGTGCCCCTGGGTTCAGTCCCCAGTACCAATAAATAAACAAACAAACAAACAAATAAATAAATAAAAGATGGAGTGATAATAAACAAAATTATAGTTTAATGCCCTGTACAGAGAGTTGTCAGAAAGAGGTGAGCAGCCATGTTGTTTACCTGTGAAGAAGAACAGAAACCCATATCAGGTAAAGCACAAGTAGTTACATGTCTCTCCCTGGCTGTCAGTTAAGGGGACCCCATCACAACTCCCAGATGTTGTAAAATATTTGCCAATGATTTTCTTTCTTTTTTAAAATTTATTTATTTACTTTAATTTGTTATACATAACAGCAGAATGAATTTCAATTCATAGTACACACGTAGAGGATAATTTTTCATGTCTCTGGTTGTTCACTAAGTAGAGTCACACCATTCATGTTTTTATACGTGTACTAAGGGTAATGATGGCCATGTCATTCCACCATCTCTCCTACCCTCATGCCCCCTCCCTTTCCCTATCTCCCCTTTGCCTCATCTAAAGTTCCTCCATTCCTCCATTCCTCCCATGCTCACTGGCCCCCGCCATCCCCATTATGGATCAGCATCCACATATCAGAAAACATTCAGCCTTTGGTTTTTTGGGGATTGGCTAACTTCACTTAGCATAATATTCTCCAACTCCATCCATTTACCTGCAAATTCCATGATTTTCTTTTAATGCTGAGTAGTATTCCATTGTGTTTGTGTGTGTATTTATATATATATATATATATATATATATATAATTTTCTTTTTCCATTTATCTACTCAAGGGCATCTAGTTTGGTTCCACAATTCACAAATTGTGCTGCTATAAACATTGATGTGGCTGCATCACTGTAGTATGTTGTTTTTAAGTCCTTTGGGTATAAACTGAGGAGAGGGATAGCTGGGTCAAATGGTGATTCCATTCCAAGTTGTCCAAGGAATCTCCATACTACTTTCCATATTGATTGACCAATTTGCAGCCCCACTAGCAATGTATGAGTGTGCCTTTTTCCATATCCTCGCCAACACTTATGATTGTTTGTATTCTTTTTTAAATATTTTTTTTTAGTTGTAGATGGACACAATAACTTTACTTTATTTATTTATTTTTATGTAGTGCTGAGGATCAAACCCAGTGCTTCTCACGTGTGAGTTGAGCACTCTACCACTGAACCACATCCCCAGCCCTGTTGTTTGTATTCTTAATAGCTTCTATTCTGACTGGAGTGAGATGAAATCTTAGAGTAGTTTTGATTTACATTTCTCTAATTGCTGGAGATGTTGAACATTTTTTCATACATTTGTTGATTGATTGTATATCATCTTCTGAGAAGTGTCTGTTCAGTTCCTTGGCCCATTTACTGATTGGGTTGATTGTTTTTTGTTGTTAAGTTTTTTGAGTGCTTTATATATCCTAGAGATTAGTGCTCTGTCTGATGTGCTTATGGTAAAAATTTGCTCACATTCTGTAGGCTCTCATTCACCTCACTCAGTGTTTCTTTTGCTGAGAAAAAGCTTTTCATTTTGAATCCTTTCCATTTATTGATCCTTGATTTTATTTCTTGCACTATAGGCGTCTTTTTAAGGAAGTGGGGGCATAATCTGACATGATGAAGATTTGAGCCTACTTTTTCTTCTATTAGGTGCAGGGTCTCTGGTTTAATTCCTAGGTCCTTGATCCACTTTGAGTTCAGTTTTGTGCATGATGAAAGATAGGGTCTTAATTTCATCTTGTTGCATATAGATTTCCAGTTTTCCCAGCACCATTTGTTGAAGAGGCTATCTTTTCTCCAATATATGTTTCTGGCACCTTTGTCTAGTATGAGATAACTGTATTATGTGGGTTTGTCTCTATTCTGTACCATTGGTCTATAAGTCTGTTTTGGTGCCAATACCATGCCATTTTTATTACTGTTTCTCTGTAGTATAGTTTAAGGTCTAGTATAGTGATGCCACCTGCTTCATTTTTATATTTTTCCAGATGAATTTCATGATTGCTTTTTCTATTTCTATAAGAAATATCATTGGGATTTTGATTGGGATTTCATTAAATCTATACAGTGCTATTGGTAGTATGGTCATTTTGACAATATTAATTCTGCCTATCCAAAAACAAGGGAGATCTTTCAATCTTTAAGTCTTCTTTAATTTCTTTTTTTTTTAGAGAGAGAGAGAGAGAATTTTTTTAATATTTAATTTTTAGTTATTGGCAGACACAACATCTTCGGTTGTATGTGGTGCTGAGGATCGAACCCGGGCTGCACGGATGCCAGGAGAGCACGCTACCGCTGTGCCACATCCCCAGCCCTTTAATTTCTTTCTTTAGTGTTCTGTAGTTTTGTGTTTTGTTCTGTACTTTCAGTGTTCTGTAATTTTTTTTTTTTTTTAGTGTTCTGAAGTTTTCATTGTAGAGGTCTTTCACCTCTTTTGTTAAGTTGATTTCCAAGTATTTATTTATTTATTTATTTAGGCTATTGTAAATGGGGTGGTTTTCCTAGTTTCTCTTCCAGAGATTTGTCAGTGATGTACAGAAATGCCTTTGATTTATGGGTGTTGATTTTATATCCTGCTACTTTACTGAATTTATTAGTTCTAGAAGTTTTCTGGTGGAATTTTTTGGATCCTTAGGTATAGAATCATATCATCTTGCCATTGATTTCTCATGTTCTGGGTGAAATCTTTTCAACTACTGTTAGTTTAAAGGCCCTGTAATTACACTTTTTGCCTCAGAGATTTTGATTGCATTTTCTGTGCCAAAGTCTTGTCCCTAAATACTATTTCATAGTAAATCAGATGATGAGAGATTGCAGCAATTGGTATCACAAGGAATATGTAAGGCTCCCCAAAGAATTTTCCTTTAATTAATGAATTAGATACTATATACCTCAGATATGGGTCATGTTAGCTGCTTTGCTTTCCTTTTGGAGTGAAAATCTGTCATGAGTGCAAAAGCTCAAGGTTGTCAATAAAGTTGCTGAATTCAAAACTCTGAGCTCTCTACCAGGTTGCATACTGTTTTGGAGGTTAAAAGACCCAAAACTAATCTCCTGGCATAACTATAAAGCTTTGATTCCCTTTGACTCAGATTATCTTAGACATCACAGTCACCATGTATTCTACTCCCTTGATACTTAATCACAACCAAACTTGAAGTCTCTCTTATACTTTCAAATTTTCTTCTTTTCTTACATTGTAAATTCAGTGAGAGAAGAAACCATAAACTATATCCCGAGCACCTGTTTCAATACTAGCCACAAAAACATATCTGCTGAGTGGTAAGTGGGCCTTCATCCATAGAGGGAAGACCTCATGCAGCAGAGTACTTAGTACTATTGCTATAAGTTTTTTTATTTGAAACCTAGATTCAAAAGCTCAGGCATTTGATTTGATATTTATCTAATAACAATGGGAAATTTTGAGGAATGGTGGATAGAAAGATATTCTGTGCAGGAGCATCCCATAGAAACACACAGGGACCAAGATTATATGACTCTCAAGTGCAAATGTGAAATGAAAGCAGGTAAGTGTCATATAGATGGTCTTCTGCATTCTCCTCAGAAAGAAGCCCCAAGATTCTGGCCTTTCTATATCTTTTCTGCTTTCAACACAGGCCCTGTGCTAAAAAACAGATTGTGCTCTTGGCAAGACACCTTCCTGTGAATTCTCTATTAATGTCCCCACAAAGTTTCTGTAATCCAAGGGGAAAAAAAAAAAGATATCAAAGAAAAAGCCAGAAAATCCTCACCTTCAGCTTCAGGGCCAAAACATTCAATTTCAGAATTTGGCAGTAAGAAAAAGGGGGCATGTAAAGAACAGCACCATTAACAAACAAACAAACAAACAAAAAGAGCCCGATGGTTTATGCCCCCTTTTAATTCTTTTTCTTTGAAATAAAAACTTCACCTCAGAAATCAGAAACAAATCACCTTCTGCCCCTCCCCTCCAGAGGTACCCCCTCCCTCCCCAGAAAACATAAAACTCTCTATTTTGCTTTCAGCACTGAGCCTCTTTCCACTGCCCATTGCTACATTTGCCAGATAACCCATTATGGGAGTAAAAACCTCCAAACACTGACAAATAAATCATTCTGAAAGCTGGGGCTTCCCAAGGGTAACATCAGAGATTATCAGTCAAGCAGAAATGTTAACATCCATTTTCCCATCATTGTAGGCCCTTTGCTAATGCATTTTTTTTTTTCCTTTGCAGAAAAGGCACAATGCCCTGCATTATGGGGACATTTTATGCAAATCACAGTCAGTCTGTGTGAAACTGCTTTGTATCAGTCACTATAGCCCAGGCAAATACCCTTACGGAAAGATTTTTATCTCAGTGCAAAGCCACCTCACATGGCCCTCAGGACATTAAAGAATCAACTCCTCAGGTCTCTACTCCCAAAGGAAAATGATTCTTGGTTTTGAGCAAGCTGAACTCTCAGGAGTGGCCCAGGTAAGAGGAGTCTCTATTCAATCCCAGGAGAGGGACTCTTCCCTGTCTCAGCTCCTGCTGGAAAGGGGATCCAATCCTGAGTCAAACTAACATTAGGAATCATAGGATAGTGATTCTCATTTTATCTGCTCATTTCAGTAGGAAAACTGAAACCAGAAAAAGTGATAGGCTGTACCCACCAGGTCAGAGAGCCCATTAATAGTGAATAAGGATCAGAATCTAAATTTACTGGGTCACATATTGCCTATATCCATTTGTTCTTTCATCCACTTCTTAAGAAAGTAATAATATTAAGAAAGGAACACTGTGCAGTGTTCTGAATAATCACAATGGCACTCATAGTCCAAAAAGAAAGACAGGACTAAAAGGACAAATACAAAAAGAGAAAATGGAATGATCTCAATACTTATTAGAGATCTGGCTAAATAAATTGTGGTACCTCTGTATTGTGGAATAGGAAGCAGTTGTTAAAGCAATTGTAGGTAGATCTACTCTATTGTTTGGTGTGGAAAGAGCTCTAAGCTGTATTGCCAGGTTAAAAAAAGCAAAGTCTATAAGGTAGGTATTAATCCAGTTAAATTAATAATCATTTTGTCAATGATCTAAATATTATCAATTAACAAAGATATTATCAGAGAAGATTAAAAAATTAACACCCAATATAAGCTGTTTAAAAGAAACTTACCTTAAAAGCACATGTAAAGGAAAAGTAAATAGAAGGAGAAAGAAATATATGCTATATTAGCCAAGAAAAAAATGGAGTAGCTATATTAATTTTAGACAAAGAAAACTTTGAAGCAAAGAAAGTTAGCAGTGGTAAAAGGGGGCATTATATAATGATAAAAGAGGCAATTTTCCAAGAAGCTATAACAATCCCTAACATGTATGTGCCCAATAACAAAATGGCAAAATACCTGGACAAGAACTAATAGACCTACAAAGAGAAATAGATGAATACACTATTATAGCTGCATATTTCAATATCCCTTTCTCAGAAATGGACAAATGCGCCATGTAGAAAATCAGTAAGGAACACAGTCTAACTCAACAACAGCATAGATCAATTGGATATAATCGACATATACAGACTACTTCTTCCAGCAACATCAGAATACTCATTGTTCTCAAGCTCACATGGAAAACTTAGAAAGACAGGCCACATTCTGAACAAGGAAATACATCTCAAAGAATTTGAAACAGGGCTGGGGTTGAGGCTCAGTGGTAGCGTACTTGCTTGCATGCATGGGGCACTGGGTTTGATCCTCAGCACCACATAAATGAATAAAATAAAGGTACTGTGTCCACCTGCAACTTAAAATTATAAAACAGTTAAAACAATAGAGAACATAGACAACACAATGGAATGAAACTAGAAGTCAGTAAGAAAAGAACTGAAAAATCATAGACTACTTGAAGTTTAAACAACACATTTCTAAATAACATAGTTCAAAGAAGTAATCTAAAAATAAATTTTGAAATATTTGAACAAAATGGAAACCTAATTTACCAAATTTGTAGGATGCAGCAAAGGCAGGTCTTACAGAATTATGTGTAGAATTGAATGTATATATTAGAAAATAAGAAAGATGTAAAAAACAATCATCTAAACTTTCACCTTAGGAAACGTGGAAAAGAAAAAAACAAATTAAATTTAAAGTAAGCAAAAGAAAAGAAATAAAAGATCAGAAATCAATGAAATTGAAAACATCAATAAAGACAATCAATGAAATACAATTTGAGTTCTTTGAGTGGATAAATAAAATTGATAGTCTCTAGACAGAACAGCTAAGAAAAAAAATGAAGGAAGAAGAAATAATATTAATATCAGAAATTAAAGAAGAAATAACCACTAAAGATGCCTTGAAAAATAAAAAGATAATAAAAGCACAGATGAACAACTCCACTTTCACACATTTGACAACCTAGAGGAAGGAACCAATTCCTTGAAAGATATAATCTGCCAAAACTCATACAAGAGGAGATAGAGAATCTTAATAAATCTATACTTACTTTTAAATTAAATAAGCGCTAGCAGCCTTCCAAATCAGAAAGAACCAGGCATAGATGGATTATTTAATGACTTCTAAACATGTAAAGAATAAATTATCTCAATTCTATATAATATCTCTCAGAAGATGGAAGCAGAAGGAATACATCCTGATTCATTCTGTAAAGCCAATAAACATCATCAAACCAGGCTAAGATATTACAAGAAACTACACCAATATATCTTATAAACATAGATGTAAAAAAATCCTCAACATTAGCAAATCAAATTCAACAATGTGTAAAAAGAATAAGACATCATACCCACAGAATTTATCTCAGGCATGTAAGAAAAATTCAATATTCAAAAATTAATGTAATCCATTCACATCCACAATGAAGAAAAATCATATGCTCTTATTAATAGATACAGAAAAGGCATTTGACAAAGCACAATACCCATCCATGATTAAAGCTCTTCAAGAAAATATGAATATAGGGAAAATTCAACTTAATAAAAAGTATCTACCAAAAAAAATTACAGCTAATATCATACTTAGTGATGAGAAACTGAAGGCTACTAAATTCATATTCTAAAGTTTATGTGGAGAGGGAAGAGCCCCATAATAGCCAAAACTAAGTTAAAGGAGTATAGTTTGAGGACTGCCACTCCTTAACTTTGAGACTTATTTTAAAGCTGCAATAACCAAAACAGTGTGGCATTGGCAAAAAAGAAAAAAGAAAAATAGACCAATGAAACAGATAAAGATCCCAGAAGTATCCATATGCAAGTTCAGTCCATTGATCTCTGACAATGGAGCAAAGGCAATAAAATGGAGAAAAAGATAAACCCTTTAGCAAATGGTGCTTTAACAACTGAATATCCACATGTAAAAAATAAATAAAGAAGAAGAATCTGGATTCAGACCTTACACCATCCACAATTATTAATGCAAAATTGGTCACAGACCTAAATATAAAATGCACAACTTTGAGAAAAATGTAGATGACTTTGGGTCGATCACTTTTAGATATAATACCAAAGACATCATTCATGAAAGAAAGAATTGATAAGTTGGACTTCATTAAGTTTGAAATTTTCTCCTCTGTCAAAACCACTATCAAAAGAATGAGAGCATAGGTCACAGACTAGGGGAGAATTTTTGTGAAAAAAATATCTGGTAAAGGACTATTATCGAAAATATTTAAAGAACAAAAAAACTTAATGAAAACCTCCAACAAATAAATTTTAAATGTGGGCCAAAGACCTAAAGAAAAACTTTACAAATGATGAATAGCAAATAAGAATAAGAAAAGATATTCCACATCATGAGTCATCAGGAAAATACAAATTAAAACAACAGTAAAATACAATTCACAATGATGAGAATAATCCAGAATATAAATAACGAAAAATACTGACAAAAGTGTAGAGCAGAGGGAACTTTCATTTATTGCTGGTAATAATGCAAAATCTTACAACCGCTTCAGAGGGTAGTTTGGCAGTTTCTGACGGAACCAAACATACTCCTACAATGAAATCTAGCAATCTCACTCCTTGGTATTTACTCAAGGAAGTTGCAAATTTATGCCTATGCAAAAACTGGCACAGGGATGTTTATACCAGCTTTATTCATAATTGCAAAACTCAGAAACAACCACCATGTCCTTCAGTAGCTGAATGGATAAATTAGCCTTAGGACAGCCAGATAATTCCAGAAGAAAGGGCACATCATGCCATGAAAAGATAGAGGAGACTTAAATGCATACTAATCAGTGAAGAAAGCCAATCTGAAAAGAAAACCTGCTGTATAATTCCAACATGTGGCATGGAAATGGTATAACTGTGAAGACAGTAAAAAGATTTAGTCGCTTCCTGAGTTAGAAGGGAGGGAGATTAAATAGGCAGAACAGGCGATTTTTTAGGGCAGAGAAAAATGCTCTGTAGAATACTACATTGGTGGAAATCTGTCATTACACATTTATCCAAACCCAGTGTATTGGATGATACACATCAATACAGGTTGATTTATAAAATTTTAGCAACTTCATTAATGTCTCACTCTGGTAGTAGATATTGATAATGTGGAAGGTTATTCATATGTAGGGACAGAGGGCATACGGGATATCTTTGTACCTTCCTCTTAATTTTTCTGTGAACCTAAAACTGCTTTTTTTTTTTTTCAAAGCAAGGCCTACATTTTTCAAAGGCAAAATAAATAGTTTGGATTTGATTAATAGTTTTCAAATCTGTTTTTTAAATGTTGGAAATACTATTTAGCGGAGTAACCATTTTTAAGTGTTGAACTTTACTGGAATGTCATGTGACACAAAGTTCTTTCAAGTGGTAGTGCAGTCAGCATCAGCATCTCCCTCTAGAACTTATTTTACTTTCTATAACTGAAACTATACCTCTTAAGCATAATTTCCCACTTTGCTCCCCCCCAGCCTTGTCAACCATTGTCTACTTTATGACTTTGTGAATTTGACTTGTTCCACATTGCTTCATATAAATGGCATTATACAATATTCATCTTTCTGTGCAGCTTATTTCACTCAGCATAATGTCTTCACGACGTTTGCCCATATTGTAGCATGTAATAGAATTTCCTTTCTTTTTAAGCCTGTGTTGTTTTTTTGTTTTTTGTTTTTTGTTTTAAACAATACCCATTCTATCAGGTATGAGGTATATCTCATTATGGTTTTGATTTGATTTGAGCTTCCCTGATGATTTGCAATGTTGAGCATCTTTTTATCTATATGGAGAAATATGTATATCCGTGGAGAAATTCAGTTCAGGTCTTTCACCCACAATTCCATTGGGTTGTTTCGAGTTGCTGAGTCCCAGGCATTTTAAAGTTATGTAAAGGCTTACTCTTAGTGCAGTTGGATATCAAAGCCCACTATGCAAAAGAGGAAAAGGCAGCACCGCTCAGGTTGAACTGCATTCATGTGTCAGGCCTGAAGCTGCGACACAGACATTTTCAAGGACTTCTTGTCCCCACTCTTCTCCT